AGCACTACTGCAGGAAAAATACTGACATTTTTGTGTGTATTAAGGACTGTCCATGAAACTCTGAATTCGTTGCATAAATCTCGGCCTTAGACGGTAACCAACCTTAAAAGACATAACAATATCAGCTTTTGTTGCTCAAATATGAAGACACATTGTTTCTAAATTAAAACTATAGTCTCATTGACTTCAATAGCAGGATGTAAACATTTTCGGATACTACAATTGGTAGACAAATTATTTTAAATACATACCCCCGTAGCATGGCTACGCAGGATAGTCGCGACGCGCGCGATAAAATTGGAATAAGCGCGCGCTATTGGCTGTCACAATCAGACCTAATTTAGATAGCGAATAGCGCGCTTATTTCAATTTTATCGCGCGAGTCGCGACTATAATGCGTAGCCATGGTACGGGGGCAAATGTGATATGTGTGCCAGTATAAGGCTGCACTGTGAAGATTAACTTACAACTATCGAATTATAATTAGTAATATACTACTCAATGTGTGGACCATGACATATTCCTTGATAGCATTAAGTCGTGTATACTTCCTACATTCAACCCTACATTTAAAATAATGTTTTCCTCTTTTTTTTTATTTACAAAATCACGCAATTTATAATCTTGTTTTTGAAAGCTTTGTACATTTTGTCATTGAAATGTAGATTTACTGATGTTTTTTTTTTGTATTGTAAAACAATAGTATTTAAATACTGTTTTCTGTAAGTAATCTGTACCATTACAATAAAAATAAATAAAATATTTAACTAAAAATCTGTTGTGTCGACTGAAGACGAGACGAGCGAGGTCTCCAATCCGCATTAGACCAGTGTGGAGGACGATGGCGCAATTCTACTTTAAAGAAAGCCGTCTTCTCAACGAGATGTCTTAAGGTTGCCTGGAAGAAATTGCTACTTAGCAATAAGGCCGCCTGTTGTACATTGGCTTACTCTGTAAAGCTTACATTACTGTTCTATGTTGTCGTTGTAATTTTAATGTGCTATGATATTTCATTAATTCATTTTATACATATGTATAGAGAAGACCAGGGGTCCGACTTTACAAGGTGTTAATCGGGTCACATTCGAATAATTCAATTCCACTTTTACTACAAACAACGCTCTTTGAGACTCTTGAAATCGCAAAAAAAATCTGTTCCATACCAAATGTTCACAGTCACTTAAATAGGTATATACCACTAAAATTAATTTATATAAAACATATTGAGTTCTCAGGTTTTCCCCATTATAATACTTTAGTAGCAGTAGAGCTCCTCGTGAAGGAGAAGTACTGCCACCTTACCTATTTCTGCCGCCACGCAGTAATGTGATCATTACTGCTTCCCGGTTTTGAATGGTAAGGGCGTTGGTAAACTTACAGGCAAATGGGACTTGTCAACATATTATATCTCAGGGTGCCGCTCAGATCTTTGTGATTCAAAGCTCTGAGTAGCACTGGCACTGTTATCATAAAACTTGGTATCATAAAAAAACACATGAAATGAAACTTTTTCGGATGTGAATCGCGTACATGTTTTTGGCCTTTTACAGGTCCCATTCCTACAGCCGGCCATGACCACTGGACCTGTAAACGACCCGAAACGTAAGTTTGATTGAAAAAAAAACAAAATACGCTATTTAGATTTAATATAATATACATATATAGCTTCATTTCTTATAAAAACCATTTAAAAAAATCTTCATCGGCAGGTTCTAAACGATTTGATGTAACAACTGGTTGTACGAATAATTAACTTGGTACATCTATTTGTGCGCAAACTAGCTTGCCCAGGCTTGCTTGACCGCCCATATCCATATGGGCCTTTAAATTGAGAAACCCTTGAAACTGTTTAGGTTGGTTATAACCAAGGAACTCATCTTTGATGAGTAAAGCAAGTGGCCTATTATGTACGGTGTATGGTAATAATTAATATAAAAAATATAGGTAAAACAATAATTTCCTAGAAATGTCTATGAGAAATAAGGAAGTTAGACAATGGTTGGGAAGTAACATTGTTTGTAAAAATTGTATATTGAAACTTGAGAAAAACGTGCTGAGTATGGGACAATTTATGTGATAATAATGTGTTTATGTTACTTCTATGAACAATGGATTTACGTAATAAAAATGTATCCGTTATAAATTTGACAGACTTCATAGTATAATAGATTATTTCTTATTACATATCTATTTTATGATGTATTTTATAATGTGTTGTAATAAATTAATTTATTAAGATAATTTTATTTTTTCTTCTTGATTAGTGTGAATCGAAAATGTCTTTCTTTGAAGCTGAAATATAAAAATATACAGTATAATATAAAAGTTCCGGAAGTAGATAAAAGTTGTGTTATTTATAATTATGAATACATTCAACAGTAGAACAATTACAGCACAATTATGTCACATCCTCATGAAGAGTACTTACTTGATAGTACAATAACATGTTTTATTATTACTTCCATGTACTTTGCAATGCTTTTGCAATGGAAAACTGTGATATAATCTACATGTTTACAGAACTCATTGAAGACCAGCACGTAACCTGCATCGGGCCTTTGAGGTGAACTATGACTCAGAGAACACACAACAACAGAGAACCTGACCTTCTTCACCTTAAGACCCCAAGGACATCAAAAGAAATATCATGAACACCTTAATATTAAACGTAATTGTAAATGCTTATCGGTATTTTACAGGATATATCACGGATAGTGTGCGATGGAATTACACGATTTAATTCCGCCTTCCCCTTTCCATCACCTGGGGACTAGGCGTAGGCTTGGGTTCCACCCCTATGTTGTGGATATTCCAAATATTCGCACGAAGCGTTACACTTCCACATTTATAATTATGGCGAACGGCTATGGAGTGGAATTCCCTGCCTGCAGCTTGTTCCCTGACTTTATAACTTGAGTTTCAAGGCGAGAGTGAATAGGCATTATTTAGGTGTGAATGCTCCATCGTCGACCTCATCGTCACTTTCTATCAGATGAGATCCATCTAACCTAATGGAATTACATATGACCTCCAGGTCAAATGCGCACTTATATTTTATATAAAAATAATTTTAGTTAGCCGGGGCTGGTAAAGCTGTAAAGGTATCTAACTGGGTGACGAAATATCATAGGTTTCTCGTAGATGGCGCTTCGGCTAAAAAGTCGATAAAAAACCAAATTCAAAGATACGACGCAAGCACATAGAAAAATTCGTGAGGTTTGCTGGTTTGTTCCGTGGCTTAGTTGGTATAGCGTCTGACACGGTATGCTAGAAGACGTCGGTTCTAATTTGGTCAGATCGAAAAAAATTTTTCTGAGTGTTTCATCTTTGTATTAATAATTATAAGAAACTAGGGGAGTAATTTCACATAAAAATAATTGAATATCAATTCAATAAAAATTTAAAAATGTAATCAGTTTATTTTTGTACAACTGATACTCCAAATATACTCTTACACTCCTATAAGTCTGCAGCTTCCTAGTTTGGATACAGTGGGGTGCACGAAAGGAACCTGTCCGCAGATATACCATTCCATGCCTGTCCATCTGAG